ACGATTAATCGAATTTTGCACGTTTAAATAAAAGAAAAAGATGTTATCTTTTCTTATTAGAAAAAACATAACTTACATCAAGTACAGTTATAATTGTTCAAATTTAGTATTCGTCGTATTTTAAAAGTTGAAATTGCAGATATAATCTGCAAACGCGGAACTTTATATTTCTAGTGCAATGGCAATAAAAAACGATCCGTTATTTAAAGAATATTTCATAATTCTGAGAGCGTAAGATATGCTAAAATATAATGACAAAAATATAATATAATTTTTTGAAAAATATCAATTTTATAACAAGACATAAAGCACTTTGAAGACGATAATGATCAAATAAATAAATCAGGATAAAAAATTTATTTATTTAAAAGAAACTAAAATCGGAGAGACTGTAGAATTTTACACTGTTATTGTTATTAGAATAAAAAGCGAATTGTTATTCAAGAAACGTAGGTTACAAACAAACAATTTAAAAAAGACATAAAAAAATATCAATTTTTAGAAAATCTAAACAATTTTATCGCAGAATTTTGTTTAAAACATTTATATTTAAAGACAACAATGATTAGCTCAAAATTTGTCATGATAAAAAAAATATTCAATTATGCAAGGATATATCTGACAGCATTAGATCAAAGTCTGGAAAAATTTAGGTATCATACTGATTTACCTCTTTAAGAAGTCCGTGTATTCAGCCTGTCTCGAGAGGCCGGTCCTCATCATAATGGTTTGGAAGCATTGCCGGTCGATGGCCCATAATTGGCAATCAGTCGCAGCAGTGATCGTTGCTGTCCTCTTGCAATTGTAAAGAATCGCGAGTTCACCCAATACTTTACCATGTTGTAAAGTGCTGAGATATTTGCCATCCCTCGACACCTCGACCTTACCCTCTGAAAAAGAATTTCAATTAGAGATTAAAGATATAATCTCTTGCTATACGATGACTGTGAGATTATTATGAGACTATTGATGAATTTGAAATTGAATTTAAATAGTTTGCTGAATGATTAATTTCGAGATCGGAATTTAATCGTCAATATTAATATTACATTTGTCATCTTAATGATGTATTGTTTTATATTTACCATATTTGTTCATATCAAAATGCTACTTAATTAGTTCAATTATTTCGATTTCGATTTCATATTTACGAACAAAATTAAATAATTGTTATCGAAATTGCTAAATTTTTTCTTTTCGGCTTATAATTACAAGAGAAGATTAAAATTATGCAATTATAAATATATGTTATTCAATAAACAAAATTCTGAATTGAAAAGTTGACTGTTTATCTTTCTCTAAAACCGGTATTAAAATTAATTAATATCTTAAAAGTTGACCAATCGTTCAGTGACCATCGACGTATTTAATAACTAGAAATGTAAAACAGTAGCTCTTGTCAAGATATATTTGTGGATTGCACAAATATTCTAACACGTTCGATTTTCTTTGCTTTATGAAACGTATGAAAGTTATGGAACACGTTCTGAATATTAATAATCAATTTTTACGTTGCGCAAATCTGGTGACATATTCCTGGTTTACTGACATTTCTAAATCAATTAAGCGTACGTCGTTTCTTTTTTAATCATGTCAACTCATTCACGTCTTATCGGGAGGACTTGATAACTCTTTAGAAAGATTGCTTCATACAATGTTAAGTCACGACAAGTTCGCAGACTGCTGTGCAATTACATGCTTTGAATATATGACATTCTCTATTATCTTTCTACTGTACAGTTGATTATACACTTTGGAGTATCTATTGTAAATGCATTATCTATTGTAAATAATATGGATGAATCTTTGGATTTATATATTATAAACACTTTCCAAAGTGTTATATCTCATTTTCATCTTAAAATTATCAGGAATATGTCACTAAAATTAATGTCGCGAGCTATAAGACATCCTATATATAGGATTTGCAACAATGGTAATAACTTTCAATCATATTTCTTACAATCTTAACATTTCTAACAATCTCATAATTTGTCTGAAATTCTTTATATTATATTCTCTTACTAAGACAAAATATTATGACTATCTGTAATAGAAACAATATTAAACAAAATATCTTTAAGACTATAATACACAACAAACAGGAAAAGCCCTAAACGGTCAGCTATAATTTCATTCAATATTTATAATTATGTAATTCAATGTGAATTTATATACTCATATTCATAATCCTGCAAACTGAGCGCCGAATTTAATTTTTAATCTTGAAACGCAATCCTAACAGAACTAGAGTAGTAATCACAATAGTAGAGTAGTAATCAAATAGTTAATCACAAATTAAATTGATAATCTGTAATATAATTGCGCTCACGCGATCTATCATGATTTTATAATGCGATTTTATGTGTCAATACTTTTCTGCGTAAATTGCGAAGGAAATATTACATGATTCTCTTCTGTAGAACTGCATATAAAGGGGTCGAATCAATCAAGAGAGGAGCATCTAAGCATCTAAGCAGATTACGCAAATCAAAGTAGCCTTTCTTTTTTACCGCCATATCATTCGTCGCGACTTAATCGAGTTCGACATTGCGACAGGATAGTCCACGGCCACGTATTGTCCCGCGAGCGTTGCTTTCACTTCCTCGCGCATAACGCCTAGTACGAGTCACACAAGGGACTCCGAACCGGTTCCGTTACCGATCGTGACTCGCGCGAGATGGATCGTATCTTTCGCCATCGAAGTTAACCATCGAGTTAAGCGGCGGCTATTAATAAGCACGCACGTCGGTATGCTCCCGTCTCGCGGAGAATGCCCCGTACGATGTCCTGTTTGATTCCATGCATCCGTTAGTGGCAATTTCCCTTTGAGACAACGCGTCTCATCGACACAGGCGGTCTTGTAACATACGTATGAGTCACGAGGTACAGTTGGACCTCCGTATTCTTGACTTATTGAGATCGAGCGATTTCTCTATTCTTGGAGCTCCGCTATTTCCTCACTGCAGCTGTACTGCCAGAAATTGCGCACAGAAAGAACAATTAAAATACTGAAATATGTACTAATCTAGCTGGATACACAAATCTGGAAATAATTTTGTTGGACTATTCAAAATAATTATATAAGAAATTTAAACATGATGAGGAAATGCTGCAAAAAATTTTGACATTCTAATAATTAGCTTGAGCGTCCTACATAATTATTTTGATAGCCCGATAAAATTATTTTCGGATATGTATCTAGCTAAGTTTTTTTGATACTTCAGTAAAATCGTTCTTTCCGCGAATTCTGTTCCTTGCACTTGAAATAAATCAGTTTTCTCATACATATAGATCGCATTTAATAATTTATGTGTAGATTGATAAAATGTTTTCTCTTTTTATTATCCTACATTACATCTACGATATTATCCTCTTATATCTCTCTTTATGTATTTTTTTATTTTTATGTATTTCTTTTCTTTAATTTTTATTTTAACATATTATTTATTAATAATAATTCTTATTTTTTGTCCTTATTTTATTTATGTACATACGTTTTTTTATTTTTTGTGTACTTATTTTTATATTATTTTTGTTTTCTTTATCATTATTATTCACTGTATATATTGGGTTGTCCGTAAAGTTCGCCGATTTTGAAGGAAAATTGAAACGCAAAAGATTTAAATTTTTAATTTCATTTATTAAATCTTTTGCGGCACGAACTTTCCGGACGACCCAATATGTCCTTAGAGGGTTTGCTCTAGAATTATATAAATGCTCTATTTACATTGAGAAAAAAATGCTCGATTCAATTAAAGTATCTATATTGCGGGCTGTCATTAACATACGTGATTTTAATTCATGTATTATTGACATAAAGGCATAATTATAATTTCAATAACCAAGGCCTTTATGTAAAAATATACATGAATTAATCACTTATATTAATGACAGCTCGTAATATATAAATTAATTGAATCAACAGCATTTTTTTCTCAGTGTAGTTATCTATCTATGTTAGTAAATATACGTGCGATTCTGAACACGTGTCTCACGTTTCCAAAGATAATGGATTATGATTTACGATCGCCGATCAATTATAGTAGTTAATTGTCGATTCACAGATAAAAAAAAAGTCTTCACAGAAAATTCCAGAAAATCATTGATAAGAAAAATATTTAATCATTCAAGAATGATAAAATGTAAAAGAATGTAAAAGAAATTATTAAATGGAAGTAGATCAATATGACACGTTCTTCTTTTTACAGATTTCATTTTTAGTAGACATTCGCGAAGTTGCATGAATTTGCATACGTGATAAAAGCACATATAATAGAAGCTGATATGATCGCTTTTGTATGTAACGACTACGTGCCCTAAATTCAGAACAATAGACTATAAGATGTGCAAATTCGCGCGTTATTTCGACGATGATCGCGAGGATAAACGTCGGTTTAATTACAATTAAAATCCACTTTAAACGATTTATAATTTATCTAAAAACTACATACAAAAACGTGTTTATTGATAAATTTCGATATTATATCTATTTTTTTAAATAGCAATTGCGCATCAATTTAAATAAGACTAATTGTAAAGCGGAGATATTCACAATCTGTTCTTATTTCAAGATTATCTTAAGTAACGTCTTAAGATACTGGTTCTGAGATATGATTCTCAATTATGATTCAGTAGTTGGTTTATAACATCTCAAAGCCTTGCTCCACTAATGTAAGATTAACTTTAATCTCGGTTTAACTTACTATTTATCTTTTTTTTAATTCTTAGAATTAGAACCGAGATTAAAATTAATCTTACATTATTACATTAATGGAACCGAGCCTAGTTAAAACTGTACTTATCACGATAGTAAATATAAGAATTGATTATGAACATCTGTTTAAGACTTTCTTCTTTATTAACATAGCATAAAATTATAGTACTTTTCAAATAATAAAATTTATAGTAATTTTATGCTGTAAGTATGAAAATTGTATTACAAAATCACTCGTTTGGAATGCGTAACTATAAACAAGTCTAGAAAACTCGGAAAATGTTGATAATGCTTGCGTGCGCATATTACAAACTTTGGAAAGTGTACATGGTTGCAATGCTAATGAAGAAACAACATTGAGATTTTGACGATGAATCGCGTGCCGCGAAACGATTATAAGATTATAGGTGGAGGATGCAAACAAGCTACATGTAGTTCAACATTCGATTACGAAAATTTTTGTAATTACAAAACATGATATAAAATTTAATATTTTTGTTATACGTAATTAACTAAATTAAATAACTAGAGAATTTCTCAAATAAGATTTACAAGAATAAATAGAACAACATTTAAAAATATTATGATAAACACACTCACACAATCAAATCTTTCAAATATTTAATAACTATTTCTTCATAAGATTACTATTAATAATCTAAAATAAAATAAATAAAAGTTATCCTTCGATACGAGTATGTTAGATTCATTATTGACTCACACTTCCATTCGAGAAAATAAAAAAGTAAACTTGACAAATGGCATCTCCCTCATTAATGCCAGTTATCTTGCGTAAAACTATTGTGCTCTCATGCACACAATTCGCACAATGAAAGCTTTCCGATTTGATTGCTACGAGAATAGAAGCGTCCAAGTTTGAATGCCACTTCGAGAATCGCGGAACCGAATATCGGCAAAGTCATATTCTTTAGTCTCTGCATGACTATTTAATCTTTAAGAATAATGTGCCGATATTCATAGCGTATAGATAATTACATAACTACGCTGTGAAAGTCGAGAGAATTGTTGAATGTCCTTCGCACATCTTTATCACTTTCGCAAGAATAAAACAACCAAGTCCATTGGTCACTTTCTGCGATGCATTTCGAAAAAGAAAAAAAAACTCACGAGCATTCTCTTATATGATGCTCTGCTTATCAAAACGTAGATGTT